GCAAGCGCTGCATCTTCGTAATCCGAGGCGACGGATGCTGTTTTGTACACATAGCATATTAGTGAGCGCAAATCCGCCTTTGTACAAAGTGGCGCCTTGTTAGTAAATCCTCCATTATCACGTTTTAAGCAGTGTTTTTCGAGAGTCTTCCCTTGTTTAAGCAATATTAGCTCGGTTGGTACTCTATGATGAGGATACTCATCGAAAAATTAAAGCTTCACGTTTTTAAAGTAAGAAATGGCGGTGTTGGGCGCCAACTTACCTTTCTTACCTTCGCATGTGGCGAGATAGTAGCCAAAACGATCCATCACGGCCGCTAAGCTCTTTCCAGAGCTGTCACTGAAAATGCATGCTCGGACAACGTCCATGGATACATCTTCGATATTAAGCATACGCTCGAACGCGCCTATTCCGGTAGTACGCGCTTTTTGCGTGTTTGTAGGGATAAGTGCGGAGAGGCTCATGCTGGTGGCTGCTTGTCTTTTCTGCTTTTTGTTAACTGGACTTGACTGGTTGAGTGTACCTTAACACTACTGCTCAATTTTAACCTAAAGTAGGAGGTATACCGCATTGTCGGAACCACAAAAATATTGACATATATCTTACACGACTTAAATTCAGTATTGGTTTCAAAATAGTTAGCTCTAGCTTCCGACAAATATTTGTCAGAAAGTGTCGGAATGAAGAGCCTGCTCCTGTGCGACCTAATTGGCTGAATTAAGGTACATTGTAGTATATGATTGGATATTAATCACATATTCACAATCTTGCCTTTGTGTCTGTCGGAAAAACGTGTATATTCAATCATATTGTGCTTTTTGATATTGGCAAAAGATATTAGATTTGCCTTAATAATCCAAAAATTATTTAAACTCCCACATGTGTGACGTCACTCAAGCGCGAAAGCATGACGAGTTTCGAAGTGAGACAAATTAGATGTGTCAAGTTCTCTTTTGAAAATAGATTGTGATTAGAGAAATGAAATCAAGCTTTAAATCATTTTTGGAGTATTAATACATGTTTCTAGCCGATACTGCCAGGTGCAGGAAATGCATTGATGTGCTTATTGGGCTAATTATTTTTTGTGGCGAGTAGTTATTGGCTGTTTGCCGTGTTTTCTGCAACCGTGTAAAAAGTACATGTACCTTTCAAGTCAAAACCGTAAGAACGGCGGAAGGCGTACTCCTGTCCATTTGAAACCGTCGCTTTGCTCACAATTATGTAAGAAGTAGCGCGCTTTAACTGGGACACTGTTTTGATGCCAAACTGGTTAATTTTGCTGGTGCTGCAGACTTTTTACGGGCCACTGGTTGCAAAAAAAGTGATCGGTTGCAAAAATACCGTAAATTCCGGTTGCTATCTAGAGCGAATTGTGAGTGCTGGTCGGTAATCACTGGCTTTAATTTGATGATCAAACACATGCTACAGGTAAACAGAGATGGCGTGAGAAAGCAATTCTCGTGCTTTGAGCTAAAAATGCGGCTATCGACAGATATACTTCATACATCACGATACAGACAACGACGGTGAAATACGACAAAATACGCCAGGACCAACTTGAAGTTCAGAACACAATATTTGAGCAAGTTAAGAACCTTTTGCAGATAAAGCAGTAACATACATTGAATGGTGCAATTGGGTCAGTCAAAATCATTGTGAAAGACGCTGGTAATGCTATGTTAATGTTCGAAGTGGAATGTCAATTGAAATATGTCACTTTCATTTTGTTTTGATTTATACGACAATATTACTATGGAGGATGGCGCTCAAATCGTGGCGGATTTTGCCGTCGCTGTCTGTAGAGGACTTGATTAACAACAAGAGCACTGTACCAATGATAAATTTATTCAATAGTGCTATGTTCTTTTTCTCTGGCAGAATTTCTACCTGATCAATCGTGACTAAATAACTGCAGTGAGATTAATACTACCTCAGATTTTTGTTTCTACGTTTTATCACAGTCGTGCAAATGCAGTAGGCAAAGCACAATAAAGGGGGATTCTTCAATGGTCTTTAATAACTTCGACTCATCTCACTTTATTCAGGCACTCGACTTCCATCTTCCCTCGATCTCGCTAGCGTTTATCAAGATGACACTGCCATCTTGACTTGCCTACGCCCGATCTACTAACCGAATCGTTAGATATAGATGAGTTCCTCAACGTAAGCGCTATTCCACAGAACCAAGATGTCCACAATGTAACTCCGCAACGGATCAACCTAACAACGGCCAAGATGATAAACGTCAGCTTGCGAAGAACACGACAGTTCAGGGACAAGAAATCGATCGCAAAATGCACCACGTTGCCCCCAAACCTTAACTTATCATGCAAAACTTGGTCAAGGAGCTAAACTGTCAGCTGAAACAACTCAAGGCAGCGCGACCGGAGCACAATTCGACGCAGGGAAACGTGTCGACAGCCTTACCGTCTACCGCTTTGCTTTGGTTTCAGAGAAAAACAAGAAGAGGCTTAGGGCCTGAAGGGGTTTCTCAAACGTCGACGTAAACAGAGGTGCTTCAGTAATACCGTATGTTTTGTGATTCTAATACGGCATCCTGCGTGTTTCATTGATTATAGTAGATGCTGCGCCTGCTTCGCAGCCGCAGGAGATGCGTTGATGCGAGACTTGGGCTAAGTGACCGGCTGTCAGTGACAGCCTGTCACTTAGACTGTTTGCTGTCACTGACAGCAAACAGTTTCGTTTGGCACGTAGGTCGAGCTAGCAATTAACTATGCAACGCTTTCTGCTTCCTATTTTGTTCTTTTACTCAGTTCAGCACCTATTTTAGTACTGTCAATGTACTGCAAAAACTCGTCAAACGCACGACATTAGCAGTTACCATACATGTACCGTAACTACAGCTGGATGAACTACGTGTTGTATGTTATCGAAGAGATATAGTACACGACAGCGCAACCGTGCAATTCCTTGGAAGGTAGGAGCCGCAGTAGAAAATCGAAGAGCAGTGTACTCTTGTCCTGTTCACTTTGCTTTTTACCAGCAACACACTACAGCTACATTTCCGAAGTCTCTCCGCTCGCCCAAGACCTCAAGTTCCCCCGCCAAAGTCTCAAGTTCGAAGTCATGAAGTTCGCCATTGTCGCTATATTCGCCTCGATCCTGATCGTCGGAATCTCCGCCGAAGGTTTTGCTTGCGCCGCGGTTCCCTACATTATATGCGACGGTGGAAATAACCCCACAGTCTGTGCAAGTAACGGTGTCACCTACTGGAACAGATGCGACTTCTACAAGGCCAACTGCGACAACAAGGGGCTAAAAGTACTCTACGAGGGCATGTGCACAAGGGGCCGGCGTTTAAGAGATGCCCAAGCTTGACCTGTCAGATTGAGAACTGTTGCCAAGCTGAATCAGCTGCTGATAGGCCAGAATGGGAGGAACTCGAATATGTACCTAGTAACCTTGTGAGAAAAATAATATTAGTGGTACTATCGTAGTACTACTAGTACTTGTTGTAATTCACCGCTCGAAGAGTGCACTACATCATGCAACATTCGTGCAATGTGTCTTTAAGGATGCAATTTGCTCATTGATCACTGTTTTTGTGATTTCTATAACATAACCAGATCATGCAACGTATCTCAAAGTATAAATTTGAGCATGTACCCCAGGTAGTAAGGGCCGCATGAAGTTCTACACTTCGTTTCATCTTCCAACTGGCCTACTGTACTTCGTCGAACGAGTGCAACATCTCCTGTGAAATGAGGAGTATGCGCTAGTACCGGAAGTGGTGCATTTGCATTATTGTAGTCGAATCAATGAATCCAAAAGTTGAGTCAAAACTAGAGCAAATTGCAAGACTACAAAAGCATGATACCTCAGCAACGTGGAACCGGCACAATAAAATAAATTATGTACGAACCAAACAAATCATATTTTTAATAGGTAATCAAGGCGTGAATCCTGTTGTGAATGAAGACTCAACACAATTTACGCCGCCCATTTAAAAGCTTATCTTTTGCGATGCATCTCCTGCCTGAATGTTTCGTTTTGCATCGCTTTAGCTAAACCTATCAATGCGCCCGTCCTCCGACAATTACCCTAACTCTTTAATCATGTCCGTTTATCTGAATAAGCGGAACCTTTTTTGATATCCTGACATGCTCGAGTTTACACGGGACTCCGGCTCCATCTAAAGTTTGTGCCGTGCCAGTCCCCACTGAGACGTTTTTATGTCTACTACCTCCCGTCATGCGTGAGCTCGTCCGAATCGCTGTCTGAATGTGGTGAGGCCACTAATAAAAAAGCTACGCTGACCTAAATATTATTCACTGTTAAACGACAACGTCTTTCAATTAGTGCAGTTATCCAAGATCACTATAAAAAGCTGTATTTTCAAATTCACCATGGCAAAACGGCCATGCTGATCTCCATCAACTTTTTAAGGCTTTGTGGAGGCCTTGACTATTTTTAAGATCCAAGTATCGATCAATTTTAACCAATACTTCAGGTTTGCTATTGACCTTATTCCTGTAAAGCGGAAGCCTGTGTTTCATTAGCATCGCGATACATCCGATGGCGCTTTAGAGCTGCGAGCCCCCCCCCCCTCTCTCTCTCTCTCTGGACCTTCGAGGTCCACGTCCCGGTAGCACCAGGTGTTCCGAAATAATCATTGTATTGAGCTTCAATACAAGATTAGCAGCTAATTATTTATTTTTGAGATGCCAGATATCACTTTCAATACATTATTTCCACTGCGATATTATTTTTCCTTGACTTTGCCGTGTTTCTTACTTGAAAGTAATTTTTAATGGAGCATGACAGCGAAAAAAAGGTGGCTGCAACAATTTTCTCTTTTGGTTTCAGAAGAACAATGAAGTATTATGCAGGCTCCGATAATAACATTAAAAAATATATTATCAATGCCCTCAGCGTTCTTCTGAAATCAAAAGTAGTACTACAGTAAAAGATCTGCCACCAAAATCCCACAAGCACAGATACTCACTCAAATGTAGCAAAAATCACTTTGTACTACTCCGTTCTCCAAATATCGTAATCGCTGCCTTATTTCTCCCACAGTAAAAGCTGTGTTTGTGTTAGGAAAGTAGCAAAAGAATGTATTCTATTCAGTACTGTACTTTCTAACAGACAGCTCAGCTACGCATCCAGCACGTTGTGAAGTTGCTCGACAAAGTACTGAATCTCGTCGATCTGAATCTCCATCACAGCGCTAGTGAAGCCATCCTGTCGAAAGTTCGCTCCAGTCTCTCCAGCAGCCAACTTAAACGCTGTTCCGAGTGTGCTGTAAACAATCACACACAAAATTAATCAGCACACCCACCTTTTCCAAGCCTCATAAAGCCACATACTTCCGATGGATCTCGCCAGGTGTAGACGGACACGTCAAACCCACGACCAAGAAGCAATTCTGCGCCGGGTTTCGCGTGATTAGTACCAGTGGAACAATCGATTTGTTCGTCACTGTCTCCTCTTCTGCGTCCGCCTCCTCGTTCTCGCCGTCTTCCTGTAGTTTCTTCCGGGCTGATGCGTTGACACCGCCCCATTTGCCGCTTGCACGGTGCACATTGAGCAAGAACAGAGCTAACTGGGTAAGCACGTTCGCGTTCGCAAAGAGCTCTTGTTCCCGCTCTGGAACATTCAAACACACGTAGCGGAAGTGCTTGACACGGACGAGCAGTTTTCGCTCCATGATCGAGAGTCCCACACGGACAATCGCTTGCTTGAGTGACATGGACACCTTGATGCCACTTTCCATGAGTTTACTGGATGTTACAGACTGACAAGCAAGCGCCGTGTGCGCTAGCATGAAGTTCTGCTGTCGGAAATCCTCTTGCGAGTCTTCGTCAGCTTCCGCGTCTTTCTCCTCTCCGTCCTTGTCGTTGCTATCGCTAGAGGACAAGATCGAGTCCAGCGAGAATAGACTGGAGAATGTGTTGTTCTGGTGTTGCGTCTCGGCCTCAAAGACTGCCGCGACGTAACTTTCTGGGGCCTCTAGAAGCGCTTGAAGACCGTACACCGCGTCAGCTGCACACAGTTGATACTGGAAGGCAAACGTTCGTTTGAAAGAGCCATAGAAAAGGTCGTGGAGACCAAATTTCGGCGCCATTTCTTGCGTCTTCTCACGTAACATTTGCTTCATCTCCAATGGCATGTACGAGAATTTCTGTTGGCTTTGACGTAGAGAAAAGCCCATACGTGCAAGGAACATGTGCAGTTCTGTATCTCCTGCACCGTTGCCATTGTTACCTGACGCGTTGCGTGCACCAACACGACGAGCTTGGTCGTGATAAAGCCCGAGCTTCGACGCCACGTAGTCCGAGTAATACATGGCTTCATACAGCGACCAATGGCGGTAGCACATGAAGCGATATTCCTCTTCAAAGCTGATCTTCCCGTCGTCATAGCCAGGGTGTCGGTCTTCGTCTCCAGTAGCTCCAGGGCCACTGGACGGCGCGGAGGCATCCACAGCCAAGACCTCGTCCTGGAACCGTGTAACCATGAGGTTATAGTTGTCGGTATCGATCTCCTCTAGCACGAATTGCTTGGTCAATCCAATGATGGCAAACCACAGCAGATCACGCTGTGAGCTGTTCACTTGCTGAGCTAATTCGAACGCTACAGTGGCAGCAGGAGCGCCGTGGAATGAGCCTCTGTAGTATCTCAAGATCTCCTCACGACGTCGTCTTTTAGCCGTCACAGTACTCTCCTCTACTGGCTCTGCGGGGACGAGTGTGTCCACTTGATCCTTCTCTTCACTGTCGTCTTCTTTTCGTCTCTTGGGACTTTGTTCCATGTCTTCGTCTTCATCTTTCTCGTCTCGTTTTCTCTTTTCACTGTCGTTCTCCTCCTTTTCGGTATCTTGAGTGTCTTCTGTACCGAACTCCACTTCAGCTTCGCTGTCACTTTCTTCGTCGTCTTCTTCTTCAGCCTCACTTTCTTCTTCTTCTTCTTCAAAATCCTCTACTTCTAAGTCGGGACCGAACGCCGGATATTCGTCCAATGATAATGCGCCGTCATCGAACACTACGATCTGTTGGTGTTCGTCGTATATATTGGCCAAGTGAATGGGTCGGTGGCTGTCTAATACGTAACATTTGACGTATGAAGGTAGTGCCAAGAGCTTGGCTACGTCCACGATGGCGCCGCAGTTCAGCATGATGACTGAACGAAGCTCTCCGCCGCCTCGTAGTGTCCCGTCGTCTCCGCGGATACGCGTCTCGCGAGCCTGGAGCACGTCCTCGTAGCCTCGCACTGCCAACAGCGAGTAGCTCAACATATCGGCGCGTAGAAGACGCGTCAGGATCTCTGCAGCACAGAGCGCGTCCACATCAAAAGCCACGAGGATCAACACGCTGCAGCTACCACCAGACTGCAGCGCGTCATGCTTGATCTGCCCGTACGCGGCGTGGAACTCCTCTCGCGGCCAGAGCATTGGAAATGTTACACTGACAACGTTCCCGCCAAAATATTTAAGTTCGGTTCACAAGCTAAGTTCACTGTATACGTATAGTTTATGATGTACGTTTGGAGTGGTAGCGTAAACACAACTTGTGTAAGATTTGAGTGGCGCAATACACAAGATACTTTTCTTTCTCAGATGCAAAGTGCGTCGGACGACGTCGAATACAAAACTCCAATGGAATCTTGTTTACCCTCGAAACGGCTGTTCCCAACCCAAAGCTCCACGTGGTGCGCTCATTCTCCGTCTTCCTCGCAAGCCGCAGCAAGAATCTCTTCCTTCCTTTTCTAATTTCAACCATGTCGCTCGACTTTTCCAAGGTGGAGAACAACCCGGTGCCGCTTATCGCGGAGAAGCACAACAAGAACGTGGCGTTTGTCGTGTACCGCAACAAGAACAAGAATGTGGTCGTGTACGCCGCCAACATCCGCGAGGACGGCACGCTGGACCCTGAGAACCCTCTGGATGTGTACTGGATCATGTTCGAGCAGGACGGCTGCCCCCGTGAGGAGCTCAACATGATTGAGCGCAACACGGCATACGGCGCCACTGTTAAGCCTCGTGAGGGCCATCCCGGTGAGTACGAGGTGACGTTGACGTCGCTCAAGGACCGCGTCATCTATCTGTCCATCGTGGACGGCAAGCCCGTGGGTCGTGGCTCCATTAGCGGCCAGGAAGGCTGCACGCTTGAGCGCGTGTTCGTCCTGTCCACCACGTCGTGGGGCATGCCCAAGGTGCAGCACATTGAGATCCACGGCAAGGATGCTCAGGGAAACGCCACCATGGAGAAGAAGATCCCGTAATCGTGCAGTCGTCTCGACGTGGAGCTGACTGTGAGTCCAACGTGGAGTTTGACACTCCCAACTAACAAATAACCAAAAATGTAATAGAAAAAATCGCAACCATGAGACTGTAACAAGACGATCTTTCTTGTCCTGTTTGAAGAAGTTGATAGACTCTTGTCTTCTCGACAGCTGATTGCTGTCTTAAGAGCAGTGTATTTCTAGTGATGACGGCAAAATCATGGTGGCCTGCTCCATTCTTGGCTCAACGTAGTGGCGATTCAGTAGCCAATGGCACAGATATTTATTATTGGGTGTGTGGCGTAAGGAAGCAAAGTCGTTTGCAGTCCAGGCACGTGTCGCTGTCGATAGATTAGCGAACAGCGGCAAGATGACAGATGTCGAGGACTCGGCGGTGAACGACTTCTTACTGATCCTCGAGGAGCACCGCAAGAACTGTGAACGACAGGGCAAATATGTGGAGGCTGAGATCGCCAAGAACCGCCTGGAGGAGCTAAAAGTGCACGAGGAAACCCGACGAAGAGAAGCGATGCGCTCGCGACAGATCGCCGAGCGCCTGGGGGTCGAAGAGGCGCATATGCTCGAGTTCCAGCAATTCAATCAGGTCTGGGATAGAAAAATGGACGAGTACGAGCGCAACGTCGAGGAGCTGGTTGTTAATATGAGAGAGAAACACAAGTCTGAACTACTGGAGTTCCAACAGAAACTACTGGAGAAAAACCAGAAGCCAAAGTTCTCCAAGGACCTGCTCAATCTCCGACGAATTGAAGAGCATCTCGCTCGGCAAAAAGAGTACGTTTGATAAAAAAAAATACGAAAATCCAGTAAAATAACGTTTGATTGCTATTTAGTTATGGCGAAGCACACAAGATCAAGTTGAAATCGGACGCTTTGGAAGCCTGGGAGCTCGAAAAGTGGCGCAACCTCAAGCAGCAGGAGATGTTCCAGCGCGAAGTAACCTTCAAGCAGCGACAGAAACAGGATCTGGACGCGCTTCAGAAGCGCATTCAATCAGGAAGAGAGGAACAGAAGAAACAGCGTCAGATCGACCTCGAAAGGTGCGTTCCTAACCTCCTGGCTCCAATTCACACCCGCGTGCTGTAACTATTGTTCCCTTTAGACTCTTACAGCGGTACCAGAATGTCAAGGCGGAGCTGCAGCAACAGCAAAATTTGGAGAGAATCCGACACGAGAAGTTTGCGCAGCGAGCAAAATGAATTCGCACAAGAACAGTTGAAACCCAGCTAATTATCTTGTATCACTAAGAAAAAAACTCATTCACTGCTAGTTATGGTTCAAAACCACTGCGCTTGTCCCTATGTAATATCTGCGATCATTTTTCCCATGTCGGAAGAGCTGCGATCTTCATGTGTAGCAGCATTTTGACTGTTTTTTTTAGTCTCGTCGAACCGCCTTGAAGGCCTTCTTGTTCTGGAGCACCATGTAGACCATCGGCAGTACCACGCCCACGAGCATGATCAAGAAACCGGTCACGTACGCGCCCGATACGTACGACACGGACACCTCGACTTCGTCCATCTTCGATATCCTCACTGATTGGCGAAAAGACGCATTAACTGTCACTTTTTATTTCATCCAATCATATATTTTTATTTACCAGATCCCACTTGGTGGTCATTTTTGATTTTGAACATTTGACGATGCTCGTCCGGTCAGTGGTGCGCTCGCTCCAGCGAGGTTCTCCTCGTCTCTTCTCGTCTGCTGCAGCCGTAGAGACGAAACCCAAAGGCTCACCATTTGCACGCTACTTCTGGTATACGACTGGCATCATGTTGGGCATCCCTGGTGCTATAGGAGGGGTGTTCGTGTACAACCTGCAGACAGACGACGAATTCTACAACCACTTTAACGACCGCTACCCTGATCTCATCGACACTATCAACGAATACGTGCCGCTGAACGAGTCGCTTCTTGAATTGGCCAAGCGTGAGGATAGTGGCCCAATCGGGTCCACAGAAGACCTCATTAATGAGAGTACGTTGCTGTTTACAGCTCGGATTTGAGTGAAATATTTGCTAATTGACCGTCAATTTTGTAGCTGTGACGGTGGTAGCGGAGCTGCAATCAGGCCATAAGGTGAAATTTGACGTATTGGGCTCGGCCAGTCAGAAGGAGATCGAGGCGCTTGCACTCAAGCAGTCAGCCAAGCCCGAGAACGACCGTGTGGTGAACGTCACCTTTGCAGAGGAAGGAGACGACGCGAAGGACAAGAAGGCGGTGGCACCTACTGCACAGGAAGCCTGGCCACCCGCTCCTCGTGTCACGTGGGGTAGTGCTGCTGTCGCGCAGAAGAGCAAGAAGCCTGTGGACTCGGCCAAAGAACTCCGTCTGCAGATCGAGGAGATCCGTGCGCAACAAGCGGCTCTCGAGGAGTCCAAATATGCCGGACGTGACATCGATGAAGCGGATGAGGAGATCGCGGTGCTAGAGGCGCGTAAGATCGAGTTGAAGGAGCAACTTCCACGCAAGCGCTTCTTGTGGATCTTTTAGACTCGAGATGGAGATAACAAGTAGACTGATGATCCCTCGCTTTTCGAATTATTGCTGATCAGAGTGCATTGCATAGGGAAGGGCCGTCAGTTGCAATTTTGGTCACTAGAACCGAAGCGAGCTCTGTATAACAAATGCAGCAACGGCCACATGGATGTGGTGTCAGAGCCTCATAGAATAATGCTAAAACATTGTGCTGCAAGTTACGGGCCCAAAAATATAGATGACGCCGCAATTATTGCTAGCAATAACTTACATTTGTAGTACGTACTGCTACAGTACAGTACATGTATAATAACTCTCCGATATTGTATAATCCGAGCGAAAAAAGTTTGATAGCTCGTACTTCGATATAAATGAGCTCAGGTTGCCACAAGGTTAAATGAAACTCTGAGAAAACAAAGGAGAACGTATTTTTCTAATTATCATTAGTGCTTACGCCTCTCTTCGGCGGCAACTACACCAATATCACTAAGACCAGGATTGCCGGTGGTATTTTTTTGAAGTAGCGGATTCAAAGTTTAGGTAAGAGGACCGTTTTAATTATCGAATATGGGTATGTAACAGTATCCATTCACACTGTTCTTAATCATTCAACTCTGAAGCTTATCCACGCGGATGTAATGGGAATTTCATCAAGTGCCGTGCGTCGACTTCGAGCGATGTAAACTTTTTTAGGGACTGGCTTGCGAAGAAAAACAAGGACGCAAACAGCAAATACCATTACCAATTAGACCTGAACCAAACGGCCAATGAAAAAAAATGTAGAGCTCTAAATAGCGATATTGGTGGACACTGTTGTGAACAGAGGTGAGCTTGACTTGATTTTGAAAGCCAGTGGACCCGAGGGTACAACTAAACTGGAGACTGCTATGGAGAAGATCATCTGTTCTACGTAATAAGGCCCAGTCAAGTATGTTGGTTTGCCAAATTCGAATGGCTTCTGGCCGTCGATTGAGATAATCGAGCGCTTCCGCCTTGTGGCGTGTGTACTTCAGTTTGGAGGTGATTGTTTTCGTCGAAAACTTGTCGAGTTGAGCCGGGTTGTCGATCAACATTTTCTCGAACTTCTTACTTGGGCCGAATACGTATTTCGCAATCCACAGCCTCTCTTCGTCTGTAGCGTCGTGATTGTTTGGCTTATGATGGCGTAAGTGGCCGTTGATACTAGATATATCTACATCCATGACCTCTCGTGACGCAACCTCCGAGATCGATAGAAGAGCAGCTCCAAGAAGCAGGACGAGGTTTGCACGCATGTCTCGATTCTTCAAATCTGATTTTTGTTGGTCTGTAGGTCGGCTAGGAAAATACTAAGTGAGCGATACAATTGCCGCTGTGAGTGCGGTGCAGTGCACTACTGTAAGTACAGAGTTAGCGAAGGGAATGTGCATGTTTACGAGTCATTCCAGTACGCAAGTACACTCCGTAATACGGCATTTTAATTAACTTCACCGATTTTGGAGATACTCTATCCCCCACTGATGGTACAAGTTCTAAATGCCGCTGTTTTTTAAAACGAGCTGTAAAAACAAACTTGTTCTATGAAAACAGAAAACACTCTCCGCCACTCGAATCAATAAAATCGGCTGAGTGTACGCGGTGATATGATCGCTCAAAGTTGGTCATGGCTAACAACCCATGAAAATCTACACCTGTAGAACACCTACCTGTAATGCATCTGCAGCAAGCAATACCCATCCTTATCATTAAAAGGAAGTATCTATACGTATTTTATGGCAGAAAAGCATGTTGACGGCCGGATTCTGGCACACCCGAACACATACATAGGCTCGCATGAAAAACTCACTTCTATGTTTTTAAGCGACTTCTACTGCTGTAGCTATCTTTTCCTATATCTATATAATCTTTTGTGGTGCTGTACAATGCGAGAAAACAGATTAACGTGCTCATTTCATTGTGCTGGACTTGGGGCAATGTCTACTTATGGAGATTTTTAGTTCTTCGAGTTAGCACATGATAGTTTATAGTAAGATTACACAAGTTGTATTCTAGTATTTATGCTACAAGGTTGCAGCTAGAACGGCTTGGCTCGCTTTTAAGGGGCGCGACAAGTTATCCAAGTTGCCTGGTTACCATTTTCATTAGGGTTGTATTCTGATGCTATCAGATTTATACTTGGTTTTTGTAAAGAATTTACGCATCCAGGTGTGGACTGATGCGTGGATCGACCTACCTGGGGGATAGAGATTAACCTCTGAATACGGTACAGTCTAACCACAAGAAACTTTAGCGGTGCTAACAGTACGTCGCTACTTCGTATATAATACTTGCAGAACGTATTGTGCTTTGCACGTATTTTTTTTAAGCAAAACTGGCAAATATAATACATCTTGCCTTAACTTAAAGTCTAAATTATGGCTTTCTGGTTTGCGGTTCCATTAATTATTACCACGACGTGTCACATTTAGATTAGTTACCGGTATTACGATTTGCGATCGGAGGTGCAAAACGAGACTTTTGTCTTGTTTCTTTACATTTTTGACGGTATCTACTGAGCATTTATTACATGCATTTTACTTCTAATAAGTATTATTGTAATTTTGCCAGACGATGTTTACGAGCAAAATGAATAGGCCTTGTTAGCACTAAACCAAAAAATTTCATGTCGCATCAGCTACGTACAGACAGCGACGGTGAAATCCGCCATACCATACAAATCCGCCACGAACACTTGAAGTTCAAAAATAAAAGATTTGAACAAGTTTTTATTTTAGCCAATGATAGAGTAAATTGAATCGACTGGTTCCTACGGGTAGCATATCACATATAGTTAGAATTTCTTTCACTCTGGAAAGGGCGCCTCAGCGCTCCTATACAATTCTAACCAAGCGCGAAGCAATCGTGACTGCTGAGTCGTTAGGAAGCTGCCAAGCCGCATCAAAGAGACTAAATATCCCTCGCACGACTCTTCGCGACTGGCTAGACGATAAAGAGAACATCCAAGACTTTGCGGGTGCCCAAACCAGCAAAACCTTGAAGGGCCAGAGTGCAGCGCCGTTAATACACTTCTCTCACGATTTGGTAACCTTTATGAAGGATGTGCGACGAGAAGAATGGGTAAACCGCCTTCTTATTAATTTACTTTTTACATTGTGACCTAAAACCGCTTGTTGCTTAGTATTTGTACAGATTTACTGATTCAATATTTCAAAGAGCAGCAAACGCGATGGCTTCAAACGTATCTTGCTGGTAAGGAAAGCGGTGAGAAGGGTCTAAGTGCGTTTATGAGACTATGTCAGCGGTTTGGAATATCTTTTGATTTTGCTGATTTTATATAATTGCTTTATTAAATAGTGTGATAATCGTGGAGCTACTAACACATCCGGTTGGTCATGTATACTCAGTGCAGGAGAGCAGTTTTATGGATGCCAAAGTGTGGGCGATATATGTACGAGAGCTGCTCAAGTTCGAGATCGAGGCACTATCAGTGCTTATACTCGATAACTTCGACGCACATGTTTTAAAAGAAGGACTTGATGTTGTTGTCGAGACAACGTCGGCCCTGGTTTGCCAGCTACCGCCCAACAGTACAGCGGCCTGCCAGCCACTAGACGTTGAGGTTTTCAACTTTGCTTTTTGCTAATTAATTCGTTTTATCTACCAATAAAAATGTGCGACGGATTTTCCTGTCGCAAAAACAAAAAAAGAACTACTATGGAGGATGGCTTTCAGAGGGTGGCGGATTTCACCGTCGTTGTCTGTACTCCATCAGCTCATAGCTCATTCTGCCACGGCCCCTAAAACTAACTCAAACACGAAACTTCCGAAGATGAACCTGGGAATATACGCCGTTGTTGCTATCACCACGATGTTCGCCACTGCAATCAATGCGCAGCCACTCTGCCCAGCGCAAGGGTGTGCTTACCTCTACTCGCAATCAAATTTTGAGACCAGCCAGTGCTGCCAGAAGCAAAATATGGACTTTAACGAATGCTGCAAGGCCAGTTGCATCCCCATGCTGAGGTGAATGAGGTGGATTTTGGGCGAAGGTTACAGCGTCCGTGTATCTCAATTCGTGATGCTAATAATCAATGGCATGAGGGCTCTGTAGCACACTGGTTCTTTTTTTGTTTCTTCGCCGTTATGATGATCTTGAGTTTTTCTCGTATAACATCACTGTTGAATTACTTCGTTTAACGGTCTCTCCATCGGTTAGAGACGTCTATTTCGACTTTTTGAGGTAATGTGCGGGAGATTGTGTTTCCCATTAAGCTGTGCGCATGTCGAACGAGAAGCGGCCGGATAACGGTACGGCCCTGTGGATGTTCTGGCAGACCCAACTGAGAAGATTCCAAAGAGCACGCGTGGTTTCGGAAGCCTAACATGAAGAAATCTTCCAGCGCAGAAAGGAGATCGTACAGCTCTCGAGAGCGTGTTGAGCATCCTCATGTAGCTGGGGGCTTCACGCCGTCAATGTGATGCATCAAGATTTGATACCCCCCCCCCCGGGGTTCTCTTACCTACTTTGGTAAATTTTGTCGTCACGGTAACTTGTACAGAGGTCCCCCTGTAAAAGCGCAGCTTGCACTTCGTATACCCATGTATATCGGATCGCATAACATTAGACAAATTAACAAATCACTTTGATTAGTCGACCCCCTACGCTTACTTTTGAGGGGGACTTCTGTACTTGTTCTCTCGATTTTATATCCAGAGCGAGTCATTCTGACCCAATAGTACGCTAACCTTTTATACTCAGAAGTAAACTCACTTCAGCACTTGATACACCTGCTATATAAGATCTACTTCCTCCGTCCAAAAATATAAGACCAGCGCCACACATAACACTGTCCGAAAATATAAGACTAAGTTCGGTTCGTATCAGCCGAACTTAGCAGATTTATTGCCTTCTGATAGATTCTGTCACTACAAGCTAGGGACTGAGGGAGAATACCACGGCTATCCGTCAACGTGGCTTTCGAAAGATGGGGGATGGCGTACTTGTTGCTTCCGTCAACGTCCATAGAAGCCATCAGCACAGATTGTAGAGAAACGAAAACTCTATCTAGAGCGCTGTAATGAAGCTGCTTGAAGGCTTCGTTGACATTGTTGACCAGATCTTCGATAGTTTTAGCCTTCTTCTTGTGCTGGAGCGACTGTATGGAGCTAAAAAAAACGAGGTCGAGAGCATTAAAATCCGGTGAATTAGCAGGTTGTGGCTGAAGGCGCATCCTCCACCCGCCCTCCGCACATGCCGCAAGTACAGCAGGATCATCCGCAGCCACATGGGGTTTTGCGTTGTCGTGCTGCAAGATGACTCGCTTGCCCGAAGGCCAAAGGGCCTTAATGCAGGGAATGACCGACCGGCAAAGACACTGCCGATAGATGTCACGAGTCACTGCGTATGTCTTCAGTTCCAACGTCCCCACAGGCCGATTCTTGCTTGAACGCTCGGCCGGTTCGTAGATAGCAAATGGCCACAAGCCAATTTTCCCATCCCACACTTTATGTTGCCTAGGATCCCAACGTGGGCGAGCCACAGCAACAAGAAACATAACTTTAACGGTATCATTCTTGTTCTTGACCGTCGTATGGGGATCCTCCTCGTGTTCAGCCAAATAGAAGCGCTGCTTCTCCTTAGCTTGATAAAACCACTTTTCATCCAGGTGCACATACTCCATCATATTGTCGATCTGCAGCCCATGTCTTCCCGTCTTCTGAACAAATCCAGAGGCAAACCGAACTCGAGCAACTCTCTGCTCGTCACTTAGCATCGGTTTCAGGCATGCTGTGTGGCATCTGAACACCCCCGAGAGAAAATAGTCATGCAGAGTAGATTTAGACATACCGAGGGAGTCAGCTAAAGTACGAATGTTGGTTCTGTCTTCAAGCGGCGTAAGTGCGATGGCGTGGTTGAGGTCGAGGCGGAACTCCTCCGTTAGCCTTGACTTGCGGCCGCTTTTCCCCTTTCTGCCGCTGGAGTAGTTGATAGTTTTGCCTTCATGAATATCCTGGGCCACTCGCTGCCACAGCCGCGCGATCTGGCGCTCGCTACAGCTAAAACGGACTGCACAGGCGGCGAACTCTGCTTTGGGCGGCTGCAAGTTTACGCTTGAGCGCAGAAGAGCTGCGACGACTTAAGCACGCTCTTCTGACGTGAGGTTCTTCCTTTTACAGCGCGCGCCGTCGGTGTTAGAGCTCATCTGGACTTGTTGCGAAGAATAAAAGGAAAAATGAAGAATGTGGCCGTTTTGGAACGACCATAGCTCGTCAACCACTCATTCAAAATGCGAGCGAAAAGCACCAGAAGAACCGCCGTGCTTTGACGCATGTTTTAGACCAATCAGACACCAATAAAACGCGCTTTTGACGCTAAAACGATTTTAACTCTAAAACATGCCTTATATTTTCGGACGGAGGAAGTACATTGGATTGTCGTGCCCGGGTTTTCTCTCCTGAACCTGCATAATGGGTCATTCCAGATTGAATCAGAAACGGCACATTTACTTTAATCAAGTCGTTTGGTGTTGCATATCTGATATTAAAATCATTGTACAGTACACCCAGTCAAATGTTACTCGTGTCGGCCAAGGGTGGTATCACTGTAAATTACGACTCGCCAAAGTAATTTAATCCGCGTGAATGTTTCCCGAAGAGACTCTGAGCGCAGGTGATGGAGCAGGGCACATCAGATGCCTTACACCTCCACCACTATCCTTCTTGCGGGTGCAGTCCGACTCGCATAGTATGATAGCGTATTCGCTGTCAGAACAAAGTGTCTAGAAACAGATCTACATGTATACATAGTATACAGAACGATTATCGAGAAGCCAATCGCAGAACAGTCGCGAGTTTTCCAATGAATTCGCATAGGGGCAAATGTTGAAGTGTATTTCGCCGCACCTGGGCGAGGCGGGGCGGCGGCTGCCGTTTCTTGAGATTGCCGCAAGGCACGCCGGCGAAGTGGTCTCCTTCTGTTGCCGCATTTAGCTAGCACATGTACCGCGAGAGCTCAGGTGTTCCTTTGGCCGACAGAACTATGTATTCCTCAAACGCATTAGACAGCTACCGGCCCATGATCTTGATGACGAGTCTATCAGCCCCCGCGTTTAGTATGTAGCGCCGCCTATTCAAACCGAGTGAATAGAGAATCGCGCCGGATCATATCTCGCCTTTGTTGTCGCGAGCTTTAAGGTCGTTTCTACATCCGAAGACGTTATTCCACCACTGACCAGCGATAGAGCTGGATCAGAACATCTAGGCCGAAGAATTCAGCAGCTTTATGAACCCATCTCGCTGCTCGAACCGGGCAGAGTAATCGATCATTTGACTTGCTGTAATATCTAACTTCTTCGCGACCAAATTGGTTGTTTTTGGCTCCGTTGACTGTAATACCGACTACCTTGGCCTGTTTTGGTGCTGGTTATTGTTCGTGCTGGTCGAAAAACTGTATCCAAGATAGTCGGAGAATGTAGCTGTGAGCTTGTCGGCCAATAAACAAATATTCCGAGCGCCTCAACAAGAAGAAGTAGCCTAGAAGAAGACCACCTCATAGTAGTTGATGTCTGGGCTGTGTAAGGTCGAGATCTTCGAAGATGTGACGAAGCAGACGAGCTGATAGTGGTTGCTGTTTCACGACATGATTGATAAAGCGCCGAATCCCCCGAAGTAAGATCGAGTGACTAGCATTCACACCTGGGCCATACCCCGCAGTGTTGCGGTAAAACCAGCGCATCGCACATAATTTAAAGCAGATTGTTGAGTAAGTATTTTCTTTTTGTGCTCCATTCACCCCATACCGCCACAGGTAAACTGCGAAAGCGCTCAGTTGCTCTGCACTCTTGTCAACCGAGTCCATACTCAACCACAGATTGACCTGCATCATAGTGCACCAAGCTGTCATTGCGACCACGCTCTCGTGTAATGGTTCCGGGAGGACTGGGCAAGTGCCCCAGCGCGGAGTAACGCTCCCAAACAAGCGAGAGATCTCTTGAGTCGGGAGGGATCTGAACCTGCTTCCAGCCATACGACATATTAGAAAACGCTTTCGCTAATAATGGCGACTGCCACACCCTGCTGCCTGCGTCCGCCATTTCGTTCTCCACTCCAGCAACATGTTCCGCTGCTGAGTAAAACCCATGTTCGACCTCACATAAACTTAGTACACGGAGTAGTAATTGGGCGGAGGGGGTTACGACTTGTCCTGCGATTGTTCCAAGCCACGGCTGCGGTTTTATCAATCCATAAGCGCACATGAGCGTCGATGTCTTTACGCGCACCGCTCCAGACATGACCTCATGCTATTGAAGCAAAAACAGCACTCATAAGCTCACGAACGTTGATCCCAAACTCCCCGTCACCGGATCTGTTGAAGTTGGCGAAGCGTTGGAGCTCATTTGGCCTAAATTGAACTTGCAAAAACTGCTGTTTAGCTGAAATAGAGCGCATAATCCGCGGTCGCTTGCATCCATGTGAATATCACAATCAGGATCATGGCAACATGAAAATCGGGTCCGTGGGAAAGAATTGAGTTTCTCAGAGTGTAACACCAACTCAACCAACGGAGGTCATCCGTGGCTCTGAAAGAGCCACGACGCTGCGTTATACCCAAAACGTGGTGTTCGACGGGAAAGATCAGCAAGCCGCTGAAAGAAGGACACGGCTGGTCGAATACACTTTACCACGTGTCGAAGGCTACCTAAGCGCTTCTGTTATTGTGTCCGTTGTGTTTGAATGCCATGTCGTACACCCGCTGAAGGGCTTTTGCTATCTTGTCCTTCGGCATGGATACGGTCAATTTCTGAAGATCTACTCCAGACCTAGAACCTTGTCCGCCGTGAACCAGGGGGTAAACTTCTTCTCGTTGCACGCATCAGTTCCTAGTATAGATATCATTACCATTCTCAGCGCCAATTGCGCATCGAAAAAGCGCATGCCGATGTCAGGTTCGATGACAATATGATCATCTCACCAGGCTCGAGCATCAAACGGCTCGCGTACTACATCACTGGACGATAATAAATTAGTATTAAAGTGTTTGATAGCGGCACCTGTAAAGCAATACGATGCTGAGGCGTTTTGCAATCAAATGGGCAATATAAGCCAATCACCAATACGTTGAACTCTGTAAATGTTCCTGCAAATCGACGAACATCAGCGGCAGCAGTTGGTATGTGTCGGAACGCGCCATTAACGTCTGTAGTCAGAATCATCTGCTGATCACGGTGAGAATCTTCGACGCCCAAAATACGATTTGAAAGTGCGTCGGGACCATCATATGTGATGGATACATCTTGATCAGGGACCGTGTTATCATTCACCGAGCTTCCCGGAGAAAATGATAAGTCATGAATGATACGAGGATCAACACTCAGGTCGACGTTGCCTATCTGCACGGCACCGTACGGACTACACGTCACATTCTCCAATATCGGTAGCAATTCGAGATCTAGTACTAAATAGCGATCGGGGTCCTGTGCAGCGCGGGGGTTCTTCACAATAGTTCTTAAAGCACGGCAAGCTGATCCATGATTTGGGGGCGCTTTGTGTTGCTTTTCGAAAGGCTACTTCCATTGCGTCCTTACTCCGTTGTAAACTACGCTGCCCGACTGTGATTTATAATTGTAGTTCTCCCAAGCGGGTTGGCCCGTCGATGTTCTTGTTGGACTGGAAGCTTCGCCCCGGAGAAGACGAACGAAAGCGGGCAACTGCATATTTGTCAACGGATAAATTCACTGTAGACCGACAGTTTATTTCGATCCAACAAATAAGTTGTTTTTCCGTTGATTAGCGTTGAAGCTGGGTCGGATATCGTGGTGATAAGTCAGCTCGTATAAGTTCTCGAGATAACGATGCGGCTGCACTGCCGCTGTGTCTCTGTCAAACGCCGATGTGCCAGCACCGTCTGATCGAACTCTCGTTGACGTCGCGCTCCCGCCCCACTCAAGCTCGTTTGTGCTAAACTCCATGGCATCGAAGACATCTGGCTTATGACAATTGGAAGAACAAGTGAATCAATTCTAATTTGTGAGACCGGTGTTTCCGATAAGGGTGGCAGTGTCGCCAAATGCGCGGTGGTACTACCTTCTACAGTCTTACATGAGGGGGATTCTGAAGCTGCCGCTGCCCACGCGGACAATACGCTGTCACGCTCGTCGTCGGAGCCGTTTAGACGCGATACTGCTGTACCTTAAACTTGGTATTCTTCAACTTTTGCTGCTGGTGATGCATAGTGTGGAGCTATCGAGGTTTGTAAATCAGTGCTTTCGCACGAGCGGGGATCTGAACGTTTCGCGGCTGGCGCGTATAAGTCAGTCGATAAAGTCCTTTCGTGTCCACCTCCCAGTTTACCACACGAGGGGGAGCACTTAGACCCCACTGCTCGCGAGGGAGAGGTATCGACGGGATGGCTTCCTAGCGACTCGCAGGAGGAGGAAGTGACTCGCTCCCTGCTCCTGAAGATGAAGTGGTTGGCGCATTCGCTGAACCTTTGTTTTAATCAATCAAATGCGAAAATATATTACTGGCAGAACTAAGCTCCGACGGTTTAAACTCTGACCAATGGTAAGTGCACTCCTTCGAGGAGGGTATGGTTCTTTTACGTTCCACCAGCAGCCACCTTCACTACATGTCACTTGCAATGCCACCAAACATTTTGCAGATAAACTCCTGCATCGCTTGTGGTAATGCTGCCGGCCTGAAGTGACCCGATTAAGATCGACGCAGTTGTCATTTTCACCACGGCAGCCGTCAGCCTAAAGTTAGCTCAAGCAGATTTCTTTACCTCCCTGGTTCGGAAGTGCCTTGCGGAAATCGAGGGGATTGAGCGCGATGGACGTTTCTCAAGCTTGCCATTTCTAGTCCCAATTGATGGCTAATCTCGATTTATAGTGGTGTGTGCTGCTTTTCCGCTCGCGACACGCAGCTCCTGCCGCATAATTAGCTGATTGACTCGCACGTCCGACTCATGGACGACACTAAACTGCGACTTGATGATTCTTACACTCTCCCCGTTTTTGTTGAACACGTGGACGCGGAACAACTCGCGGTCGTCGTCCAAAGCTACAATTTCAGCGACAGCTGTCACAATAGCTTGGAAATCGCTAGTGCGTAGCTCGGCGAGGAAGATGACCGCAGCATGGATCCACTCCTGGACCAATGACCGATACAATTAAAGTGCAACATTGTATAGTATGTCAACAGCACCAACCAAAGTAGATACATCATTGGAATCTTGGGGTCTTGGCAGTCCGTTCTTTCTAAAACAATTACTCATATCGTGCTTCAAGACACCAACACGTTTCTCTTGTTCCGTAGTTCGAACGAAATGAAGAATGGAGAGACCTCTTGTTCCAAGGTCCCATCCAAAAAGCCCACGCAGGATAGTAGGATGTACAAAGAAGCTAAACTGTCTCCAGTTAATTTGAACATACTCCACAAACCTTTGTGCCGTTATCGACATGTACTTACCGTTAATAAGTGCCTGGTGTATGCTTGACTGCGCTCCCGTTGGGTGAAATTGGCCCTGATCTTGAACCTCGGTGGCTTGGGAACGCGACAGACTTGATGCGTCCACGGCAGATCCTGTACGTCGTAGCGCGATCAACTGGTCGACGACCTCCTGCAGCTGTACATCCCACGACATTGAGACTTCAACTCCTGTAAGCGTTTAATAACGTCCCTATTCTCGACAGTGGCGCTCGTCAATCGCCGGCGTTTTACGGCCGGCTCTGTGGATAGCCTGGAGGACCTTTTAGCCTCTTCAAGCTCGATATCGTCTTCGGATTCGCTAAGTTCATCACTGAGTACCTGTTCATTTGAGGTTTGCTGTGCAGACTCACTTTGTCTGGCGTGTTCTTGTCTAATAGCCGCCGCGCGGGGCTCGTCAAAAATGCTGTGGCCCAAGGCAACCCAATGCGGCGCCGTGCGCTGTCCGTCTTTATCGTAAACGTAATCGAGAATGTAACGTACCGTCACTTGGAACACCTTAAAGCTCGTAATATGCAGAAGAGGCACCGTGCTTCCTTCCTCTCCAAATAAATTCTTAAAATTTCGCGCCGCAGACTGGCCGACTCCGTATAATTTGTAGTAAACCTGATCATGCTTCTGCTTAAGCTCGAGGGGCATGACCTGACTTACACTGCGACCACCACACGGTCGCGTAGCGTAAAACTCGACAGCGACATTCTGTATGGAGTCCCGTTTGTGGCCACAGAAAGCTGTGCACCGTCGAAGGTTGTGCCACAGTGGGCCTCTCTATCCCACCTGTAGCCAGTTACCAGACCATAGTCCCAGATCCGTGCGCCTCCCGGCGGCACCCTAGAAGTGCAGATGGCACTGCCAACGTAGGTTCCATCTTGGGGCTATATCGGCAAGCACTAGATCTACCGTTTTAACCGAACGACTTGCCCATCGCCCGCTCGGAACGAGCTTCACCTTGATCTCCCGCCGCGCGCTACGCCTCCTTCGGAGACCCCGTACGCGAAGCCCACCACACCGAAGGTGCCCAGGTAAAGATAATAAAAGGAGTTGCTACGGTTAAGGTAGGCTGTCCGAGAAGGTTTCTTTGGAGGTTCTTAGCTGCGAGAAGAATCGCAAAGTGGTCTAGAAGATAACGGTCTCCTCGAGCTGGCTTAGCTGCGACATCGGATAAATACGCTTTCCTCCTCAACCTCGCACCAGCCCACTACATGTATATCGGCTAGACACTTTGCACAAATTCGACCTATAATTACCCGCCAAACGATATATAACTAAACCTATACGCACATCGATGTATTTCCTGCATCTACCTCGCAGCCACAGTATCCGCTTCAAAGAATGAAGCACGCCAGTCGCCTCTAATTTTGATTACGATACTGTAGCAGTACTGTAAAACATTTGTGCATGCGGACGCACAAGATTGCATACAAATGAAAAACCTCATGCTTTGAATCTTACCTTTTCTCTACTCCTATGCAAAATGCAAATCTTCCTGCAGATCCACTACTGCTGATCATCTGTCTCGTTAATGAACTGGTTGATGACATCGTCAGATTCGTTGACGGTCTCTTCAACCAGTTGCAGTCGCTCCAACGCTTCAACGAGTTGGTTTTCGTGCTCAGTTGCCGGACTTACCGCAAGCTGGCGTTTAAAGCCGCTTTGAATCACCGAAGCGCCGAGATCGTTCCACGCTGCCGTAACCGTAGATAGCATCGTTTCTAGAGGGAGGATTAAGCTGAAATTTGCCGCCTGAATTTCCTTGACGGAATTGTTGTAGCTGCTCCGACACGTGCTGAACCCAGCGCTTTCGAAGGCGTTCTTTAAGTGGTCGAAACCAGGATATATCAGCTGGTTGGCACACAGAAGTTAATTCAGGAGGAACTTTAAGAAGGTGCACATTTAGCAGCTCTCCATGCTCAAGAACTTCATCAGTCCAATGAGCCGAGAAATCATCCCAAAGCAACAGTACCGGCTGTGCCTCATCTCGATTTGCGAAATGGTAGTCCAGAAAAGCGACGGATAAGCCTGAGTTCCACCACGCAGAGCTGTTGCCATAGATTTGCAGAGCAGCATCACTCTGAATTGTTTGCATTGTTTTCCACAAGAAGTCTCCAAAGCCATGTTGGGCCACGTAGTTGTAGGCCGCTTTGTCGGGGTTGCGCGAGGGCTCAGTCTTAACCACGAAAAAAGGGTCATACTGTTTTCCAGTCGAATCTGCCAGAAACATGCCTGTCAGGCGTTCCTTGTCCTTTCCACCACATCTGACCCACACTGTATTGACACCTTTTCTGTCCACCGTCTGCTTGGGCAGATACTCGAAGCAAATGCCGCTTTGGTCTGCATTGTAGAATTTATCTACACCAAGATCATTTTTTGCTTGCTCTACCTCTTGCCAAAAGTTGTTGGCAGCGTCTTTCATGGCAGCAGGGGTTTTCTGGCCTTGACGAGTTTTTGTTCTCAAAGACAAGCCATGACGACCTGCTGCCAGCACCAGCTCCCAGTGAAAACACCATCTGCTACGCCTTCGTCACGGGCAACTTCCTGAGCTTGAAGTTGAAGCATTAGACGGGACACAGGGATACCCTCACCACGTAGCGAATTAATCCACTCAACGATGCTTTCTTCTCCAGACTTGCTGATTGTTGTTGCTGTTCCTTGGGCTCTGTAAGACCTCGAATTTGCCGTAGCGGTGGAGGCAACCATAGCTTCAATGTGTGTACGCTGCTTCTACCACTCGTTGATCCGCTTGCGCTTTGATACGCGTTTTGCTGGGATGAGTTGGCAGTAAAATCTATCGAGAGTAGCATCCATGTCATCATTGTTGTCACGAAGGAAATTTATTACGTCCAGCTTTTTAGTGTAGCTCTCGCACTCGCGTTTGTAGCCGTTTGGCTTTTGCCCAGCGCCACCAGGAGCGCGGCTCCGCCCTCTTGCCATGCTGGCACTTGCAGGCTCTGAATGTGAAAGGCTGGTTGTCTGCTTGCTAGTAGTTTCACCGCGGCTTTATCCTGTGCATAAATAGTAGAGTGGGTAAAAATAGGTAGGTCCGCATGTACAAATGCTCCATAGTAAGATTTTTTCAAATAGCTACATCATTATGATTGGCTAATTCTGGCGTCCGGATGGACAAAAGGTCCGGATGCACAAATGTTTTACAGTAGGCTACACCGAGCATTAAAGAAAGCAGCACACAAATCCATGTTTTACACGGAGAAGCTCTCGATTCTTCAATAGTTATCAGTTAATTACTCTACGCTTTCTTCTGTACTTATTATATTCTTCTCTAACGTTCGATCAGGTCAACACCCATTTTAGTACATAAAAATCCAGAGCTTCCCTGAGCAAAGACACGCCACTGTTTTTAGTGTATCTTTGCGCAATACCTAAATTTGAAAAGTATGGGGTACATTAAATCGTATGCCTGAATGGCCATCACACCAGTTGCTAACCCAGCTATAAAGAGCTACTGAACTCGCCAACTTTTCGGCTCGTTCGTTTGATCCTACAACAGGTGTCTGAGTAAAATAATCATTATGTATGCGCAATGAAAAGAAACATGTATCTCCAAAAATGGTTTACATAAAATAAAAAAAGATTAAATGTCTCTAATTACAATCTTTTTACAAAAGAGAACTTGACACGTTGTACCGCATCGCCTATGTCCTAAGCGAATGCCCATGTTCGACGATTACGGGTAAGATTACTAGCAAATCTCATAATTAGTGCTAAAAAGTAAAAAAAAATACCAAGCTGATCCAGTTGAATGCTCCGTTCGTGAATGACCTGCCTCCATTAATTCCAAAGTGGTCCGCTGGTGAGATCTGCTAATAGCATTTCGGTCGAACATCTCTAGTTTTTTGTAATCTGTCGCTCTTCCTATTGTCTCTTTTATCAATCCCCATCAGACGGCTGCCTATAATTAGCTCGCGGACGGACATATTAACCGTCAGCCATCTGTTTTAAATAAAGCGCTTCCTCGAAGTTCGCTTAGGACAAAACTTCGCTTGCGATGCGGTATTTGTCTTGTATCGATATGCTTTTACGCTTTAGTGACGTCACACATGTGAGGGCTTGTACAAATCTCACCAAGGTTTTGGATTATGAAAGCAAATCTAATACTATAAAGTATCGTTTTGCCAAAATCCACCATACTCGTGAGTCGTTCGAATTTAACCGAAAGTGCCAAAAAGTCTGCAAAGCACAATATGGTATGGTACTAAGAGTTATACTATTTTGCCGGACGATGTTTACGAGCAGAACGAAACCAGAAAAAATCATGTCACATCAACTACAAGCCGGTGCACTGCAGCACAGTCACCAACTCAAATGATTCACAACTCATTCCGCTATTCGGCCCCTCAAACTCACTCCGTTTTCGACAAGAAGCTTCCGAAGATGAACCTGGGGATATATGCTGCTCCTGCTATCACCACGATGTTCGCCACTGCAATCCATGCGCAGCAACTCTGCACTGCTCAAGGGTGTGCGTACGTCTATTCGCAAGTAATTTCTGAGACCAGCCATTGCTGCCAAAAGCAAAGTATGGACTTTAACGAATGCTGCAGGCTCAGTTGCAACTTAGGCTCCCCATGCTGAGGATATCGGGCGAAGGTTACAGCGTCCGTGTATCCCAGCTCGTGATACTAATAATCATTGGCATGATGGCTCTTAAGCAAACTGGTTCTTTTCTTGCTTCTTTGTCACGAAAGTAGTGAGGAAGCGTAGGGGCGTAGACGGCGAGTACGGCGCCGTAGACAGTTGTAGGGGAGGAGAGGAGTTGCTGCTCGAAAGCAAATTGAGAAGTGATTAATCATTTAGAGTTGGCGGCGGCAAGCTAGTAGCTGCCGCACAGCCAGTAGTTCTTGACAACCGGATATTCACGCACGTATCCAGGTCCATCCTAAAACCTACTTTCTCAAATCCCGATTTTCTCTATAACTACCAATGACAGCCTATGAATCCTAATTCTTATCTTGGTCGGAAATTTCGCACAGCGTCCCATAATCACAATTTCCGGCTGGAAGCTTGATTGTTGCAAATCCATGGGATTTTGGACCAATAGGATTGTAGTATGATGTAAAGACACGCAATCTTAAGTTTACGCTGATCAGAATAATCTGACCAGCTGAACTCAAATAAATGACGTGGCTGGTCACTGCCATGCCATTGGCTAGTGACCGCCACGTCGCATGACCTCCCTTCGAAAGAGCCTCTCCTAGAGAAAAGGGTTCTCTTTCTTCTTTGACTTCCAGTAGAGGTCAATGAGTCCGGGAATTTGCGTTAGATTCTCTACGGGCTCCCAAGTGGCTTCCTTCTTGGTTTCACCAAGCCACCAGATCTTGTACTGCGGTTCTCCCGTGTACTTGCGATGTCCAATGACGGCTTCAACAAGTTGGCCCTCGGTACCATCGGCTAACACAACCTTATTCACCTTTTGCCTCCGCTTGTGGTCTTTGCGGTACGGCTTCAATAGTGACGTATGGAACACCGGATGCAGCTTCAATCCTTGCGAGAGTCCTAGCTCATACGAGTCTCGAGACACCTTCTTTAGTATCGGGAAAGGTCCAATAAATCTTGGAGCTAACTTCTTCGACTGTGCATACCCCTTGTGGCGGATGTCCATGTTCTTTCCGTCAAGTAACACCATATCACCAGTCTCGAAGTCTTGGACAAGTCTGTTCCTGTCGTAATAGTGTTTCATGCGTTCTTGGGCTTCACTCATACGGTCTTGTGCTACCCTTGTGGAAGACCTCTTGCCGGAGTAAGAACTCTTTTGCTGCTTTCTCCAACTTGTTGAATTCCGGATCTAACGAATCCTCGTCGGGCATGTACGGAATATACCCAAGATCCGCTTCAAACGGTGCCATTCCGATCGTCGAATGCACACGTCGATTGTAGACAAACTCTGCCATATGAAGAAACTCATTCCAATCGTTCTGGGCTGGGTTCACGACTCCACGAAGATAATCCCCGATAAAACGGTTCGTACGTTCCGTTTGTCCATCCGTCTGTGGTCTAAATGCCGATGACAGGCTATGCTGCGTTCCCATAGCAGATATAACAGCCTGCCAAAACTTGGACGTAAATTTGGAGTCACGATCAGACACAATCGTCTTCGGAAGGCCATGATCTTTTGCATGTATCTTCTGCGCTATCTGTCGTCTGCGTTGCAATGAACTTTGCACGCTTGGTCAATCGATCCACGATGACCATGATGGCATTACAACCATCCTTGCTGGGAGGTAAGGACACAATGAAATCCATCGAAATGTCGATCCATCTACCTCTTGGTACTTCCAGCGTTTGAAGTAATCCCGGCGGTTTCACTTGTCTCGCCTTGTTGCGCTGACACATTTCACAAGTGTTGCAATAACGCTGGATATAATCCATCATCTTCGGCCAATAATACTTCTCTCGTACTGCGACGTAAGTCTTGTACGATCCAGGATGGCCTGCCGTTACGGCATCGTGGTTCTCGCAAATGACACGGTTTCTCAGATCTTCGTCATCCGGAATATACAGTCGCGGACTTTCATATTCACCGGTCAGGTAGTATAAAACACCATCACTGAGCGAGTAATGCGGAACGTTGTCTCCAAGCTTAAGCTTATTGACAATTTCCTGTAAGTCCTTGTTTCATGAATACATCTTCTTTGCGGACTGTGCCACAGTCACGTTGTTCGCTACCATGGTTGCCACAATCTCACGGTTTTGAGCCGTATCAAGAAGTTCCTGAAGGCTTACTTGCGCAGCCTTATGCCCGAACTCAGGGTTTCTTGATAATGCGTCTGCGACTACATTTGTTTATCCTGGGATCCACTTGAACATGGGTCGAAACTCCGCGAGTTCATTGAACCACCGCGCAATGCGTCTATTCGCTGTCTTCTGCGTAAGAATCATCTCGATGCTCTTATGATCGGTTTCGACAAGAAAGGGCTTGTCTAGCAGATATACACGCCATGTCTTCAGAGCATGCATGATTGCGAGAAGCTCTTGTTCGCGTACTGGGTAGTTCAGCTCTGCAGGTTTCATCTTCCGGCCAGTAAAGGCAATTGGATGTTCCAACTCTCCCTCCTTTTGAAATAAGACTCCCCCAATTGCGAAATTTGAGGCGTCCATTCGAATACCGAAAGGCTTGGTGACATCAGGAAGACGGAGAACCGGTGGTGATGACAAGCGTTTCTTTAGCTCATCAAAACATCGCAGAGGGTCCTCATTGAGTTCGATCGCATCTCTAGAGCGTTTTCCCTTGATACATTCGTGCAAAGGACCTGCAAACTGAGCGAAATCCTTGCAAAATCGAGAAACGTAGACAGTTGTCCAAAGAAAGCTTTCCTTTTGCTTCTTTGTCTTGGGAACAGGCCAATCTGTGATAATCTTCACCTTATCGGGGTCCATTCGAACGCCCTTGCGTCCGACAAAGTCACCTAAACATGGGATTTCGTCGACACAAAATTGGCACTTGGACAGCTTGATGTATAGCTTCTGCTCTTCACATCATCTCAAAACCCTGTCCAACGCGGCAATATGCTCGTCTACATCTTCACTCTTGGTGTACACGTAAATGTCGTCGAAGTAGATCCGCATCACGTCACGTAAATCCCTAAAAACCTTCTGTAACAACCTGTTAAAGGTTTCAGGGCTACCGCTGAGTCCCATGGGCGTGACGAGATATTTAAAAAGACCGTCTGGAGTCTAAAAAGCAGCAAAAGGTATATCTGATTCACGTAGCTTAACTTGGTAGTAACCCCAGAGTAAGTCCATGCACGAGTACCAATAGCTGCCGGCCATCGCATCAAAGGTGTCTTCTTTGCGAGGCATCGGAATAGCCGGTAGAACCGTAGCTAAATTTAACTGACGATAGTCGTGCACAATTCGCCATCCGACTGGTTTCCTCACACAGAAAGTCGGTGCACAAAACGCTGACGTACTTGGTCGAATGATGCCAGCTTGAACCATCTCTTTGGTCCATTCCTGTATTGTTTTCTTCTGATCAGGACTTTGTCGTTATTGTTTCACCGAAATAGGCGAAGTATCAGGCTTGAGCAGAATCTCATGCTCAATCCCTTCACGTACTGAGGGTGTCTCATCCGGAAGTTCCGTGCGAAAAACCGTATCCGCAAACTTACGTAGCGTATCGTACGCCGGATTGTCCTTGAGAGCATCCCATCCTTGACTCTTGAAGCGTTCCGCCTTCTCCGAGTCATGCAGATTGATAGCAAACACCGCTTTGATGTCCTTGTCCCTACGCAACATTTGCTGGAACTGGTTGGACAAAGTAACCGTCGTTCGTCCAAACTGGCCGTTGTGGCCATGCTGCCGATATTAGTTGTAGATCTCACGGCTCTGTGCAATTCTGGCGCGGCGTTGTCCTGCCACCCAACGGGCTGGACGTGTCTTCGGCAGTCTCAACTTCACAGTCTGCGTGTTCTCCACGTTGATGCGAGGTGCAATCTGTCCAGTACTCCAGTCGATGTCAGGGCTCTGCTCCCGCAGCCACATCATGCCTAAAACTATGTCCTTTCCCTCAGGAACAGACATGACGTGGAATGCTCCCGTTGTTAAGGGAAATCCTGGTAACTGTAGAGACATCTCTACAGTCCGACGTGGACGATGCACAATCTGATCATAACCGAGATCAACTTGCATCATGTCACCTTCAGTGACATCCAACTCAGGCTTCATCACTAGCTCCTCAGTGACGCCGTTCAGGCTACTGCCGTTGTCAATGAATATCGTGACGGGCCTCTCTTGGTCTTCCGTGTTGAATGCTCGAGCTTCAGCCTCTAGGATCGCATACACTGCGCCCTGCATGTACCGGTTCGCTTCCGTATATTTTGGCTGAGTACAATCTGGAGCAATGTGACCAACCTTGTCACAATTTCTGCACGTAGCCGTCTTCTTCCAACCATCGTTCTTGCCCTTTTTCTTTTCGTAACGCTTGTTGTTCTGCTGTTTCGATTTAGGCGGATAATGCCCCGAGTCCGCCGACCCTTTGAAGGCTTCGAAGGTGCTCGAGGAGGTTTCCCTGAGTAGTGCGCAAACTCGAAGTTCGAAGCAATTTCAATGGATTCTTGTAGCGTTGAAGGACTCTCTTCTTTGATCTTCTTTGCTGTTTCTTCACGTAACCCGTTTTGAAAGAAGAATCGTTTCTCCAACTCACTGATCGTCAATTCTGTCTGCGACAGCAAGTCTTGAAACTTGGAGACATACTCGTGAATAGTCTCGGTCTGTTTGAGACGAAACATTCTCTCGCGAAGATCATACTCGAAGTCCTTGGTCGAAAGCGCGTGCGCAGCTGTTGCTTAAACAACGACCACGTGGGGTTAACACTCGCTCTCTCACATTCGGCTATAGAAGCGCGATACCAGTTCAACACTGACTTGTCTAAGTTGCTGGAGATTATCGTCACATAACCTGACGATTCTGCCTCCATTAACTCACGTCTGCTTGCGTAGTACTGCTCGGTGGCAAAGATCCACAATTCAATGTCTTCACCATACTTTCCTTCATACATCGGAGGGTCCTTCTTCTTCTGCTCACCCTGGCGGCAACGAGATATTCGAATCTCGCATTAGCTTGTTGCATTTGGGCTTGCATTTGCGCTTGCATCTGAGCTTGATACTGCTGTTGCTGCTGCATAATATATACGAGCAGCTGCTGCATGGACATGGTCTCAGGTCCAGCCGCATCCTGAGCAGCATCAGTAGCAGGGGAGGCTGACTCAGCCTGTGCATTGGCACTGGCCCCTTCACTTGACGCTTGCGATCTGTATTTGTTCGCATCGTGGGTTGGGTAGCTTCAGCGTCGCTCGGAGCACTAACACGGCTCTGTTGACAATGACGAGGGTTCGGTGACGGGCGCTCAGCTGCACGACTCCTTCTTTGAGCCATTACAAGCTGGACTTCTCAGCGCAAGTCTTTTAAGATACCAGAACCCTATACCGAAGTAAAACGAAGCGAAAAAAGGTTCCGATTAAAGTTCCTCCCTACAATCTACGTTTCTTGTCTACGTGGATGGAGTGATCAAAAGATCCTTCAAGAATTTATTGGGTTTGCTCAATACGTTTCTTGAGCAATTCACTGAAGTCGTGAATGACGTTCCGGGCGGCTGCGTCCTTAGAATCCGGAATTTCGTTTCGGATCAGGCGGACGAGCTTAAGTTGCTTGACCGTTGTTAGCCACAAGTCATCTTGGTCGGAAATTTCGCACAGCGTCCCATAATCACAATTTCCGGCTGGAAGCTTGATTGTTGCAAATCCATGGGTTTTTGGACCAATAGGATTGTAGTATGATGTAAAGACACGCAATCTTAAGTTTACGCTGATCAGAATAATCTGACCAGCTGAACTCAAATAATTGACGTGGCTGGTCACTGCCAAGTCATTGGCTAGTGACCGCCACGTCACATTCTTTGCCATTATGATGATCTTGAGTTTTTCTCAAATAACATGACGTGAATTACTTCGTTAGATGGTTTCTCGTCTCTGTTAGAGACTTCTATTTCGACTTTTTAAGGGAACGTGCGGGAGATTGAGCTACCCATTTAGCTGTGTGCATGATGAACGTGAAGCGGCCGGAAAACGGTACAACCCTGTGGATGTTCTGGCGGACCCAACTGAGAAGATTCCAAAGAGCACGCGTTGTTTCGGAAGCCTAACATGAAGAAATCTTCCAGTGCAGAAAAGAGATCTTACGGCTCTCGAGAGCGCGCTGAGCATCCTCGTGTAGCTGGGGGCTTCACGCCGTCAATGTGATGCATCAAGATTTGATATCCCCCCGGGGCTTTCTTACCTACTTTGGTGTTTTTTTTTCTGGTTTCGTTTTGCTCGTAAACATCGTCCGGCAAAATAGTATAATCAGGGGCTAATAGTAACGAAATATCATATGATATTTTTGATAGTAATGTAGCTATTTCGATATTAATAATTTATAGTAACTAATTTTCCAAAAGGTAACTTAAAATGTTGATATTAGCTCGGAGATTTAAAAAATATTAGATACTATAAAATATTTTCCCGCTTAAGTACGTTTTGTTTACCACCTTACCCTCTGTGAACAGAGGGACACCAAAGAGCAGAGCACCCTAGTAATAAAAAAAACTATTTGAATTTTATTGACGGAATAACGGATCTCAACGCACTCCGTACAATTTGAAATTGTATCGATAGTAATTATACTGGAGTTCACCAGTTTTTTTTTTTATAGTAACATGCTCTTCGTAGAGCGACAACTCACAATAAGCTACAGAAAATCGTAGTTTATGCGTTTAAGATCGCTTAAAACCTTTTCGGCAACATATATGTCATAAGCTTATTTAGAATTAGTTTTTCCATGTACAAAAAACGATTTGTTTTAACCCCAGTGTCGTATATATTTATTTTTTAATCCAGTAAATATTAATGTAGAGACTATTATGCACTGTTTTTTAAGCTCATCATTATGATTTAGGATAAAAAGGCTATGCCAACAGTGAATCTATCCAATACCGGTTTATTTCTGGTGAAATTTGTAACAGCTCCCACACGTCTGACGTCACTAAAGCGCGAATGCTTCTAGGTCTCGGACACTGGTGATAGCAACGCCGTTTCATAGATCAGCAAAGTCGGTTAGTCCACGGTTCTTCACAAGTCATTGGTTCCACGTGAGCTTTGACTTTGTTGTGTCTTCAATGTGCTTTTTTACATGAATCGAATTACTTTGCTCCACTGAGATGCGTCAGGAAGCTCCCTTAGCCACGTATCATCGGTTTTTATAGCTCGGCATTTCACTCGGAAGCTGAAGGGTCTCAGAGGTTTTGTATAGCTTCCGTGAAGGTGCTACCAATGACAATCACGTCATCGAGGGTCTCCCCAAAAATGTCACGCTGACCAATCGTAAAGTTTACAATTGGATGCGCAATGAGAAGGTAGATCTGAGCCTGAGCGGGTGTAGGAGCCAAATACAGCAGTGCCTCTGGGGAAGCACTTGCCTCAGCGGGCCCAGTGCAGCCGAAGGCTGCCACATCGCTGGGGGAACTTGTTGCTGAGCAGGTGCAGGGGCTGAAGGCTGCAGCCAAGGCTGTAGTAAGTGGTCAGGCAGTGATAATGCATACAGAATATCACTGTCTGCTCTTTCAGCAAGCGCGGCTACTCAAAAAAGCATTAAGTGCACGTCTTCAGCAAGTTCGAGCGTACTGTTGCGAATTGGGCCAATCGGCTGGAATTTTTCGGCGCATGGTATCGATATCCACGAGGGTCTTCACAAATAAACAACGCACATGGCGTTTCCATTACTACCCGGAAAATCTGTTTGCCTACCCTGAGGAGGTTCTAGATTCTCTCACGAAAGCTCGCCGCATTACAATAGCCAAGAGCTCGGTGTGGCGAATCATTCACGAGTGCCGCTTGTCGTGGAATGTCTTGGAGCGCCATACCTTGTATATAATAGAGCAAGAACGTTTTCGTGTTGAGGTGCTCAACCACACTGACTGGTGCCACAAAACCCTTTTATTTCTGGACGAAGTATCGTTTGACAACCGCGAAATGCTTAGGCGACGCGGATATGCACTACGAGGGGAGGAAAGGCGCCATTCGAGGCGATTTTGAGCATAAGACTCAAGGTTATATCTTGGGTTTTCATTGGTATAAACGGAATACTCAACTATTTTGACACCGAAGGCACCTTTGACCGCGTCAAGCTCACTCAGTGCAGTCAATATTTCGTGCACGACTCCGGTGGATGCGTGTGCCAATTTCCTGATCTTAACTCTCTAGGTGGAGGGGTTATGAACATTGATCTCTCCGGCGGAGCGCCCTCGAGGTGTCGCGTATCGCGATGTCCCGGGCACGGCAGCACTCGCCAGGTCTCCTCCAGCTAACTTCGCCCCTCTTCACGCACCACAGCCTCGAGACACTGCGGCTGTTCGTGCCTTCCTTAATCAGCGCGAGTGTGGGACTCGCTACGTTCGGGACCCCATCGCAGCGGCGGTTGTCCATCAAAAAGAATAAGCAGACCGGCGGGGACACCGGAACATGGAAACGTTCCCTGTTGGTGACCATGTGTTGTTGTCTATAAAGGAGATTCACCAGCCCGCTGAGACTAATTTGGGCGCGAATAAGCTCGCGCCGAGATTTATTGGACTAATCACTGTAACGAAGGTATTAGGGGGGGCTTACACGCTCCTACTTCCTACCGCACTACGCCTCCATCATACCTTCGACGTTGGAGGACTCCAACGTTATCACCCACCAGCCATCCCTAGCGCCAATTCTACACCCGCGCCTCCGCCTCCCATCGATTATGATGTTTTCGCTCAGGACGCGGAGGCTCCTTCAGCTCCCGGCGCAACTCCGCCATCTCGCGTTCCAGACGGCTCAGTCGTTCCACCGCGCGCTGCCGGCTCCGAGCGATCTCAGCCTCCTCGCGCTGGCCACGCTGCACGGTTCTAGCGTGACGGCCCTGCCCCCTCGTTGATAGTGCTAGCCACGTCCGTCATATCGTGGAGGCGATATTGAAGCACGACGATCACCGTGCCACATCCCACCGTACGCGTACGGGTCGTGGGTCTCCCGCCCGTGACGTTTCCATCCCTCCGCGCTGCCAGTATCGCGTGCGTTGGCTTGGTACAATGGCCGATAGCTGGGAGCCTCGAGCGGTGCTTCTCGAGGACGTTCCGGACTGTGTGGCGGTGTACGAGGCAACCGCTCCAACGGCGGCAGGTCTTCCGGGTGGCGCGGCCGCCCGCCATGCCTAACATCGCTCATGGCTCTATGGTATTGCCCAACAAGTTTCCGCTCAGCCTCAGAGACGGGATACTCTGCTACCTCCTGCTCCCGCGCACCCTGACCGGGCCTCGGGCGACCGCTCTCCGAACACCAGGTGCACCCACTGGCGTAATGCACATAACAGCAGCCGCGGTCGGCGTCATAAGCCACGTTGTGATTTCGCCTTGCTAGTGCGCTCACCGAGCGCTCTTCATGGTCCGCTTCGAGTCTTTCGAGGGAGGGGACGAATTTGGCGGCGCCTTCTGTGTTCCAGCGGCTCACGAAAGACGTCCACGCGTTGTCCAGCGAATTCAGGGGCACTGTCCGTGTCACCCCCGACTTGCTTGCTACGCGTTCGTCGGTGTCAGTGGAGCAAGCTCCGCATCTCGTCGTCACTCAGCGGCTCGCGCAAGCCGCTGTAATCGTTTACGGCCCATCTTCCCAGCTCCTTCGCGTACGTGTCGAAGTCCCCTGTTGAAGGTACGGGTCTCTCCCCCGCGCCCGCCTCCCCACCGGCGTCCGCCATTGATCCAGTAATCCAGTCCTGTTGTGCTTCAGCTCAGCTTGTTGAGTGACCACAGTCGTAACGGCCACATGCGTATCTTCGAATATTAGTAGGGGGTGGTGTGACAGGGCTCTGTCACACGGTTGTCATCGTGAGTGCACGGTGACCAATCAGATCCCAAGACTATCGCTGATGCCTGTGACGGCCTTGATGCCGTTACGCCCATCAATCAGAGTTCAATTTACCTGCTTCCTGTTACTACAGTGTGTACTTAGTAACGGGTTGTCTTTAGCCCGTTACACATTAGTCCAATATGTTCGGGGAGTTTCGATGCAATTGAACGCCTCACTGACACCGCCACCCTGTCCATGCTAGTGGGTAATGTCTCCTCTAATATGGGATCCAGGCTGGAGTAGCTGACAAACATTTAAATAATTAATTAACGCAAGAAATTGGTAAGATTTCTTGCCTAGTAAAGAAGTTATTATACAGCAAAATATAAAAATATTGTCTTGCATCGCGGCTCTTACAGAACGAAAGTGGTAGGTTGCACTGGATAATCCAGCCCATCCAGCCGAATAGATTCTGGAAAGAATTGCGGAGGCAGTTGACGATCGAGCCAGTTTGCGCTACCGCTGCCTCCAGCATCACCACGTCGTAGTCGAGATGCATGTAACGTGAGGCTTGTGTAGCCGCTCCGATGCGTTGGCTTCCGCAGCGTGCCACAGCGGCAGCGGATATATTCGAAGATCACCTCGTCATGTTGGTCACGGCAGGGGTGGAAATAGAAGGTCACTACTTGGACATTGGAGTAGGTCGGGCTGGGAGGGCGAGTTACGCGAAACATGGTCGAAAAAGAATCGCTACGTCTGCTTGTTGAAATGTCCTAGAAGGAAATGTGAGAGGCAGGTTGGAGATCGACAGAGTCCTCGGCAAAACAGAGCTTTTGAAATGATTAGCTGGGGAGAAAAAAAATTCGTGGAGTACCTAAATAAGTAATGCAATAAATATTTTCCGGAAAAATTAATTATTACATTTTAGGTTTTTGCTATCGAAATAAGTAATAAAAAAATATTTATGTAAATAAGTTTATTGACCATGCTAATTTCGGGCGGCAGCTTAATTTCGTTTTCTCTATCTACCCCACACACACACACACACACAAAACAAGCATGATGTAGTAGCGCAAACGAACCCCGTCAATCACGATCCCTAAGTATAAAAGAACTAAGAACTGCGAATCTGCGGGCCCACCAGCCCGCAAACCAATTCAAACGTACAATTCTGGGTAAATCATCGTGGGTCACGGTTTTATGAACTCGCATTATCGTAAATCCACCACCGGCCTCCAACCCGGAGCGATTTTTGTTTTTTCTAAATTGCATATGCAACTTACCATGATTTGATGTTTGTATATAAAGGGTTGGGCCACTGGCGGGAAACGGGGTAAAGTCAGTCGTGAATGGGTATAGACCAGACTTAACTGTGCATAAGGTGCATATTGGGAGCTGAATTGACCTGAACAGTCTGCATAATGCAGCATTACAGGACTGGTAATAGACAGACGCTGTACAGATACGAGCCGTCCGCATCGGTCTGTGCATTTGGTAGAGTTTTCATTTTTAGAAATTTTGAGGTGAAAACCTCCCATACAAAGTGTCATAGTGTCCGATGGGGGGTCACCCACAGAAAGTAACGCCATCAGATGATGCGGTGCTGGCAGCTCGAGGTACGTATACTCAAATTAAGTGAAAAGATCAGCTGACAAAAGAGTCAGATGGATTAGGCACAGTGTCAGATGAGCAAGCAATACCTTGTGCGGGACGTTCGCGCAAGCAATCATCCTGATTTCTTAGACTGCATATATTCTGTTCAAAGCTTTTTATTTAAGTTACGCGAAGCACAACAATGCAGTTTACCAGCTAATTGTCCGTTCTACGTCGCTTTCCTCTACTAGCCGGATCCAGTGGTGTGAGAGGCGTGACAGGCGTTCCAGGCGTTGACGGAGCTTCAGTCGACGTGTCTGCAGCTCGACGCACTCTGATATTTCTACCAGTGTCGACCGGAACCAAGTTGCCGTTCATTTACTCTCGGTGCCAGATATCCCAGCATGTCATAGCTACTTCGCGTATCTGTCGGCGCGGCTTCATACACAGGAACATTGGCCCCGTGCTGCTGCATTCTTGACAAAAGAACGATGTTGTTGTCGCGCGTTTGTCCGCAACACGGAGAAGCGAGCAGACTTTGCACGCGCGCTGTCGGCGCTTCGGCTGCGTCGTCGTATTGCGCCACTCATCAAGCTGGCGGACAGCGTGAGTAGTTTGCAGACCTCCAGATCCTGGAACGGAAGCGCCTTGTGAGGGTTCGTGTGTACCAAACGTGTTGCCTTCATACATGTCGGATGCGTGCAGCTGTGACAGCTGCAAATGCAGCTTCTTCATGTACTTCACATGCGTCAATGGGCGATACGACTTCTGCTTGTAGTAGGCTTTGTGGACTATGTAGCCATTCACAATTGCTAAGTCAATTAATTCCAACACCAGCGACTTGTAGTATTTTTTGAACCGCACGGCCCGCTGAATAGAGTACCGCTGCAAACGTAACTGGTCGTGGACATCCACGCCCCCCATGAAGGCGTGGTAGTCTTTCACGACGCGTGGGCAAGGAACTTCGACTTTATCTGCGAATTCTTGGCGAGCAACACGATCCATATCAAGACTCCCGCCAGTGCACAGGAAGTGAACCGGCCGCGCGTCCCACCAGCTACCAGCAGTCATGTTTGGCACTAACTTTGATCTTGAAACTTTGAAAGATCCGCGAGCAATAGTAGCAGGTCTAGACTTCTTTTTTCAACGACTCCTTTGCAATAGCCCAACCGGTTCGTCATAATAGTCCCAACACAGTAGAATCCCATGAGCAGCAATTGAATTGCCAATGCCACCGACGTATAGAACCGATCCACTACAGCAAGTCTCATCCCATTCATCCGAGAATCTGGCCCAAACACAGCGAGAAGATTGCGGACTACTGCAGCAGGCCCTGACTTCATATCTATCTTGTGTGCATAGCCGGAGTGCTGTTTCTTACCGCAGTAAACCTCGAACCTGTATAAATGCAGCATACACATAGCAAAATATCCAGCTTTAGTCTGCATTATTCAGCATAAGAAAAACTTAGAGCCAAAAAAAATACCTGATGCAGTAGGCGGTCACCACACTGCACAACATAAAGAGCTTCGTGCCCCACTTGTGGGGTTTGTCTTTCATATAGACACGCATCTTGTTGAGCTACGAGCGGCTAGGAAGCATCGCTTCATCAAAAGGCAAGTGTGCTGGAGCCACATACCCTCGCTCAAATGACATTGTAGAACTTCCACAACTTTGCGAATCTTCCATGCTCTATCTGTGACCGCCCTTGGATCAGAGTTTGGATTGAAATGTAGGTTTCAAGAAATCTCCATAAATCTATCGCGACGCAGCACGGATCCAAACGCTCCACGTGGAATACCGCCTTCATCAGTAGTTTGCCAATGGTTTGCAAGTTTTTCGCGGTTGGGGGCACTCGTGCGTGCAATTAGGAGGCCGATAAAGCGACAAAGCTCGTGAGGTTGTATCTGTTTCGCACCTTCTAGCTCTGTCTTGATGTCTCGCTTGGTCTTCTTTGGTAGTTGAGGATTGAGCCGGCACTTGCTACGGTAGTGTTTGTACCGTTCATCAACACGAAGGCGTGCCATTTCACGCCCATACTCGTTGGAGCACACCGCAATGTGCTGCCACAGCACCACTGGTAGAAAGAAAACGAAAAGCGCAAGCGGAGAGTCAGCATTGCGCAGTGCATCAGCTGTGGGGCCCGAATACCCTTGCCGTAGCCCAGGGTAGCTTCGTGTGTTGTCCACAGGCTCGTACGGAGTGTTCATGTAGCCAAACGTATCTGGTCCCTCCACATCTTCCCAACCAGCCGCGGCCATTTCACGTAGAACATCGCTCTTGAGATTACCAGCTAACACTGCGCCCCCTCCTCCAAAACTAGATAGGAATCGCTCCGCGAACAGAACTTCAGCAGCAATCTCAGTCTCAGAAGCTTCCGATTCGTCTTCATCAGGTGAAATGTACGTCAGCGCATTCGTCATCGTCTCCACTGTCTTCACCCATAACCAAATCGTCTTTTGCAGCATTTTCACCAGATTCCATGACAGCATACTCGGCAGCGTCGTCTCCATCACACACCGTATTGAGCGAGTCGTCTTTATCAACAAGTAGCTCACTGCTCACTCCTCCATCTTCATCTTCATCGTCAACTCCATCTCCAACACTACCATATATAAAGCAACGAACCATACACAAGTCAGTGAAATGCACCACAAGATACAGTACTATATGCAGCACAAGATGCAGCATAATATAAAACGTACCAGGCTGGCAACGCTTCCTTTCTCGACCGATTCCACCGACACATCGTCCACAGTCTCCCCGGCTTCAAACTCGGAGTCGTCGCCGAAGTTGTCCGGACTACCAACGCTGACATGGGGTGACGAAGCAGTCAGTGTCGTGTGTGGCGGAGGTGTAGCCGCCATAGGACTCTCAGTATCAGCCAATGAGCGCCTCGTAGGCCGCGAAGACCGTCGCCCGGGGATGTTGGGGCACTTGCAGGGACATTAGGAGGTGCGCTTCGAGACGGTGAAAGCGTTTGAGATGGCTGCGAAGGAAGTGGCACTCTCTCAGCTTCGTTGTGACCACTTGTCCCTTTAAAATAGGTGGCCGTAGGTTTCGCGAACGACTTGAGCAGCGCGCTCTAGCTCAGCATCACCACGGGTAGGTAGACTGGATGTTCGCGCTCGAGTACGTAGCTCTGTGTACGCAAACATGTAACGTTAGTTACCAATTGATAATAACATCACTAAAGTACCTTACCGTTCGCATAATACTCCAACACTGCTTTTTCTCCCAGGAAAACGTCGACTCCTTCGACTCCGTCGGGGTTGCATCCGGGACGGACGTAGCGATATCTGTCGTCAAGGCCAC